CGCTTAATTACGTCTTTAAGATTACAATGACGCTTTCAGAATCATGTTTGGTTGAAAATTAACGCCTGTACAGAGGCTTAAAGTTCATAACTTTTGGAGCCTCCGTTATAAACAAATAGAATTGTGCGAAAACTATTGCACCTACAGCGCCTACTTTTGGCACACTTTTGAAGTATGACAAAACCCTCAACTTGTCATAAGATTTATAAAATTTTAACAATAAATGCGATAGTTATAAACAAATTAAAAAATGAGCACATTTCTTGTTTTTTTGCAATAACTTTTTTGTTTATTAACTGATTTTAATTTAACAAGTCTCATTTTGTAGATAATTTTACTCCCTATAAGCTGTCTGTGAGTCACTTTTCGCTAAAATTGATGGTTTTCCCTGCAAAGTGAAAAAACTGTTGAATTGTGAAGGAAGGTGCTCCAATGTAGAAATACTGCTCAGTGATGACAATCAAGACGTTTCACCTGAGAAGATCGAAGATAACTATTACAAATAATTATTATTATAATCTAGTATTTATCACTGTAAATTAGGAACTAGATCTTCACAGCTCAAAATGTCATAATAATATTTTTTCCAGTGGAGAGACCAGCGCCTATCCTATTAAAATTATTAAATAATGGTGTTTTTGCTTTTTTTCATGTACCTAAATATAAATTTGTTCCAGATATGTTTCTTTTTATCAGAACCTTCTATCTTCCCCTCAAATTAAGAGTAGTACGATTTTGTTTGAACTAGGAGGCCCATTGACCATATATGGTCACTCACGTTTGACAATTATTTAAATATAACCTGGACATACCAGGTAATCATAAAATAATTGATTTTAGAGGTGCTCAGCAGAGATGGAAGTGGATTGATATCGGTTAAAACTTTTATAAAGGCGCCACCCGTTTTACAACCCGATGGTCAGTCTCCAGGAAGGTTGGAGAGGAGCCACTGATGTTAATACCTTAAAGGTGGTTATAAAAAAAACGGGAAAAGGGTACTAATAAGAGCTCTAATAATATATACACCATTAAAAACGACAACTTTAATCTATTAACTTTCAGAGTGCAACATATCTGATCTACAATCAGTTGACGATTGACAATAAAGTTGTAGAGCGTTAGATATTCGCCTAGTTGTATCTTTGTTGTACAATGTAAATACTAGTATGTGAAGACAAAATAATGCCTAAGCAGGGTAAAATGAGGAAAAGTATAACTATAACCCTCTCCAATAGGGCTATGGTTCGGTGTACATGTACAAGCTTAGAGTAATAAACCACAAGTAAAATAGGCAACAGGTATATCTTCACACCAGATATAGTTTTTATAACTTTGATGGTGTTGAATACTTTAAATAAATATCTAGTCTCTACTTAGATTGTGTGAGCAATAGCAACAAAATAAATAATAGGTACTATTCTGTCCTAGCAAAAAAAAAACAAAAAGATTTATAACTACTACTAAAGTAAAATACCAATCAAAACAATAATGAAAGTCTAAGCAAACTTGGACAATAAGGCAAATAGGCACTATCAATTA